CCGGGGCGGAGGTGGGGAGCGGGCTCCGAGGAGGACGGGCCGGGCCCGGGATGGAGGCCGGGGTGGGGGAGGGGCCACAGGGCCCAGGGCAGAGGCGAGGTGGGGGCTCCCAGGAGGACCGGCTGGGACCAGATAAGGGTGCTTGAGGAGGAGGCTCCCAGGACGGGGCTGAGGGGGCTTGAGCAGGACGCGCCCGGGGTCGCAGAAATGCGGGGCGCCGGGAGCTTCCAAACCCACGAACCACCCGGCGCGTCTTCCGAAGCTCGCAAGGCCTAGGTGTCAGGGCCAACGAACAGCTCAAAAGGAGCCTGCGCGCAGATGGGTGCTGAGTGCGCAGGCGCAGGCGACCTTTGCGCAGGCGCGAGGCCTTCTAGGGAAGCAGGGCGCACCCTGCAGGCCGTCTGTTTGTCCAGAGTGCGGACGGGGTCCGCCCACTAGCGTGAAAGGGAAGGTGTGGCCGGGGTGTGCCTTTGGGGTTCAAGCAGGCTGTATCAAAATGTTGCATTCTTTTTTTTAATGTATGTTTGTTTGTTTGTTTGTTTGTTTAGAGAGAGAGAGAGCACGTGAGGGGGAAAAGGGCAGAGGGAGGCAGAGAGAATTCCCAAGCAGGCTCTATGCTGAGAGTGGCTCCTCTGACCACAGGGAGACCACACCTGAAGTGATAATTAGAGTCGGATGCTCAACGGATTGAGCCACCCAGGCCCCTAAAATGTTGCTTTCTTCACTCTAACACTTGCTTTGGACAGAAAGTTCAGACTTAAGACTTGTAAAGTAGTAAAGTCCGAAAGTAAAAAAAATCTCTCACAAGGATCATAGACCTAAGTTAAGAGCTAACAGCATAAAACTCTTACCAGAAAACATAGGAGTAAACCCTCTTGTCCTTGGACTAGGCAAGGGTTTCTTAGATAAGACACCAAATGCACGAGTGGCTAAAGAAAAAAGTAATTGGAGTCAGCAAATTAAAAACGTTTATGCCTCAAAGAGCACCACCAAAGAACGTAAAAAGAGCACCCACAGAATGAGAGAAAATATTTGCAAATCATATAAGGGAATTGTATCCAAAATGTTTAAAAAAAAAAAACTTACAACTCAAAATAAAGACAACCAACTGAAAAATGGGCAGAGAGGTGCCCGGCTGGCTCAGCAGGTAGTGTGTGACTTGATCTCCAGAGTCCTGAGTTTGAGACCCATGCTGGGTGTAGATATTACTAAAATTAAATAAACTTAAGAAAAATGGGCAAAGGATGTGAAAGGACATTTATCCAAAGAATACAGAAAAATGGCCAGTGAATTCATGAAAAGATGCTCAACATCATTACTCATGAGGGAAATGCAAATCAAAACCAAAAACAGGTTCCACTTCACACCCCCGAGGATGGCTATGATCAGAAAGACGAAATGCCAAGTGTGGACCAGGATGTGGAATTGGGATCTTTACGTGCTGTTGGT